AAATTGAAACGGCACCATGTATTTTGGAAAAAACAACCAATGAAAGTAAATTTAGCTGCACAACTTTTTAGTGATTCAGTAGGTGATGCTCTGCAGTTTTGTTTAGAAAAAGAAATTCATGGCTTTCAAGATGCATCAGGCACAATACGATTCATCAAATTATTTAATAGGCTATTCGATATTTTAAATTCCAGAAGTATTCACCAGGCTTCCTATAAAAAAGCAATGTGCACTGAAAATTATTCCACAATTTTACAATTCTTCAGCGAAGCAAAGTTTTACATTGAAAACCTTTCTGGAAAGAGAGAAAACACCTCTAGTACTTAGCAACAGAAAAACAGGTTTTTTTAGGATTTTTAATCTGTATTGAAAGTAGCAAGGGAGTGTTCGAAAAATTAGTAAAGAAAGAAGAACTGAAGTATATACCATTGTACAAATTTAATCAAGATAACATAGAGCTTCTGTTTGGGTATATAAGATCAAAATTTGGCTGCAATAATAATCCAACTTGCAGGCAATTCATTTCTGCTTTAAAAAAAATTCTTGTTCATCAAGAACTAGAAATTAATAAAAATGGAAATTGCTCGGCAATAGAAAACTATAAAATCCTTGTATGTTCTTCACACAAAAATCCAACAGAAGGCATAAATAAAAGTAGCCGAAGAAATTTCATATTAGAAAATGAAGAAACAACTCATAATGATAATATATTGGCTGAACATGATTACTGTCTTTCTTTATATTTCCGGCCTAGTGAATATTTAGAAGAAACTATTGCATATATTGCGGGTTTTATTGTTCGGAAAACAGAACAAACAATTTTCTGCTCTAAATGCATTGAAGCACTTTATTCATCAGAAAAAAATTGGAAATTGATAGATATAAAATCTAGCGGAGGACTTATATTTCCTTCTTGGGATACCATTAAAATATGTAAAGAGACTGAGATACTTTTCAGAAGATATTTGAATATGTATCCTCTGTCAGAAATTAATACTTCTAAAGTCGAAACTATAATTACAGATGTTTTAATTAAATGTCTTGATGTAAACATCTTTGAAAGTTTAAAAAATCATGCTCTGGATACTGAACCCGAGCATAATCATCTATTCTATTTAGTCAAATGCATTGCTATGCATTACATAAATATACGGCTTCATTATGAAGCAAAACAGAACACCCTTTTTCTACACAAACAGAAAATACGACAGAAATTCACAAAACTGGTATTGTTTAAAGGGCAGTAAGCAAATTACCAACTGCATTGAGATTTTCTTTGAGTAATTTACAGTTTTTATATTCAGATGGAATTTGTCTGCATTCTGTTTCACAAACAGAGCTTGTTATGTCTTGAATGAACTGCTCATTAATTGAAGTTATGATGTAATATACCATACTTTTATTTGTTTTATTTATATATGTAATTTTATTTATGTATGTAATTTATTTTATTTTGTAAAATTTTATTTATATATATCTATGCAATTCACTTTATCATTTCTATAAATTATTGTAGCTTCATTAACGACACAGATATTTCTTCCTTGAAAACTTATGTAGTTATATCCTGTTATTTTTTATAAAATAATATTATGTTATCAGCTAACTAGTAGTTACATATATCTATCATTTGTGCAATGCTTATAGTAAATTAGAATTTTACTATTGAATAAATTACTTTTCATGCACACAAAATTTTCATGAACTGAGATAACCTGATTATTTAATGATAGAAATATTGCATAACTTGTATATTCTATAACTTGCATGTCTTGTATATTTTATAATACAAAATAATGTTTGTATTTGCATATTTTATAGTTTTTATACATGATTTTTTCTTATGGAACTCTACATGTTAAATAAACTTTTTTTTTTTTTTTTGAATAAAATAAAAATGCTTATGATTAGTTTTTTATTTTTGAACAAATCAGCACCAGTCAATCTTTAACAGTGAAATCTTAATGTAAAAGTAGGCAAAGTGCTATTAAAATTCCTAATACATATGTGAAATAAATATCATTTGACTTATATGTATGAAATAAATGTAAAAACTAGACTGAACTTCCTAGCAAAAATTGAAAGATAAAATGAACTAATCATAGTTTACAAATTGAATTACTCTGAAATGCAGAGGAAAAATATATGTACAAAGGGACTGATTCCCTTAAAATGAGTTAAATGAGAAATGCATTATGTAATTACATGCTGTCATTAATGAATGCTAGCAATAAAGGTATTGTGAAAATAAATAAATAAATACTCAAACCATTAATTGATTATATTTTAGTTATTCTAAATATATACAAGTATAATTCTCAATTTTCCATGTTAGAAATACTACTTACGTTTTGAAAAATATTAAATTGCATGAACAATGATAAAAAATAATATTTAAATTCTGCATTGTTATTTTTAAAACTCCCACAAATTTCACCCCAAATTAAATCCTGTTATTAAATATTTACTTGAACAGAAAATAAAATTAAATACATAAAATATGACTTGTAATATAATATGATCACACCTTTAAAATAACGCGTTTTCTTTTCCACGATGAGCTGACCACTCCCCCTTCCCTTGTTTACTTACCGTTTTGCTTTTACAACTCAGTTAATTACGAGTATAATACTCAAACCATTAATTGAAGAAAAATCTGAGAATTATAGATGTTTCTTCGCGCACGTCACACCGAGAAAATACTCAAACTCTTTGCTGACGGCTTTTCAAACGCACATTTCAATTATTCTACTTATTTATGCATGTTAAAAAAACATTCTTTTATATTGAAATGAAATCCGAAATGTAGACATTATTTCAATGTAACCATTCAGTACCTTATAACCCTCTCACGTCTTCACATAAGAAATCAGAAAACACACTCAAAACTTCAAACAAGCTGACGTTTAACCTCACTTCACATAGTAAGGGAAGCGTTTTCTTGCCCTCACGAGGCGTGGCTTATTTGCTTCCCCCGGCTTCACTCTCCTCGTATTGCGACAGCAGAGACGCCATCTCCATGTATTCTAACCTCCTTGGTCTGCATTGTTGACTAAGTAGTAATAATGCCTGATTGTAAAATATATATTAGACTACTGATTGTATATACGATTAAAGTAATAATTACGTTGGGTAGAACACAGCAAAAGAATCACTGAATTTTATTTATTGAATGACCCATAATTTTTGTTTTGTTCATAGGGATATATCTTTTTTAGGTGATATATCTATTTTAATATATTGTGTACTTAATTGTGTGTGCATATATATACGAATAAACGGGCCTTAAAACTTGGGTTGATTTAGTAAAAAAATTAAATATAGTATAATGTGTTATTATAAACATTATAATACTATACCACACAAGCACTTTCTTATATATGTAATATAATCTTAGAGAAATACCAACTGAATCCTTCTTTGAATATCTATAATATTCTCTGACTGTGTTGTTTCATATACAATGATCAAGCAAAGACAGCGTTAAAATTTTGCTCCGAACAGCTGAGATGCGTGTCTGAAATTTTGTACTAAACAGCACAAACTTATGTCTGGAGGTAAGAAATTTATAAATTTTGTTTTGTCTACGATTTTCATTTCTCTACATCGAAAAATTATACTGGTGTGGGGGCACCACTTCACTTAACATTTGATTTCAAGCGGCATCTGATGTTTTATGTCAATAAAAATATGACAGTTCATCCTAATTTTAATCTCTTCTTTATTGTTAGCTTTTAAGAAATTTGCTTCTTATTTGCATTTTGTTCTCTTTCTGTCAGTAGATGATATTAAGGATTTGGTTTTTATTATTTAACCATACTCTCCAATTTCTTTCTGTTGCTTCTCATGTAGGCACATGTTTCTTTTTCAATTCTTGCAGCAGTTATGTTTAATATTAAGATGTTGTAGTGCTGCAAGTGAACTAATATTTTGTGGATTTTGTTTGCTATTGATTTCTTTTTAAATTATAATCCTGCTTAGTGTTAAGATTTATGCGCTTGTTTATATCTGGTAATTAATAATAAAAAAAACTATGTATTTTCATCATTTTGTGTACATTTTAACCATACAATTATTTTTGTATGCGAATAAATTTGGATTTATTTAAATTGACTTTTCTTTACACCCAATTATCCCTTAAAGTATATATGCTATGCTGAATGCATTATTTCAGATTCAAAATGTATACACAGAGAGAAATGCATATCACACTATCATGATAACAAAAGTGGTAATTTAATAACATAAATAACATTGACATCAAATATCACTTCTCTAAGACAACCACTTCCATAGAAAATTTTTTGTAGCAGCTGTGTCTGGACTGTCTTACAAAAGATTCACTGTATTTTGTGATTTAGAATTAATTAACTCGCTTGTAATACTGATGCAATTTAAGGTTACTAATATGTGCATTTCAGCTGTTTTTCTTTATTAGTTCAAACAACCCATGTTATTGATCAAAAAGCAATACCTTATCGTTAGTCATATTATAAAAATTAAAAAATGGCTTTTAGGAAATTTTCCTCCTTATGCAATGATTTCCAGTTTGGTAAAAAAAAGCTTTCATAAGTTGATCTTACTATGGGCACGTATTGAATTTTATTTAGTGTTAAAAATCATTTCTATGGTATATGTACATATTTTTACAGTTTTTAAAATACTTCAGAAATTCATTATCTCATTGCCACAAGGCATGCAATAAAATAAGCGTTATTTCCTTGTACTATTATTAAGCTGTCCAGAAGAAGCCTTTTTTGACAATGGATCACTGAAAGTTATGCTGTATCTTTCTGTTAATTAGAAAATAATTTTGGATAATAAAATAAATGTATTAGAAAAATATTATATTAAAATGATATTTTTAAAACACATAATTAAATTATGATTGTTATGGTATCATATTAACTTTGTGTCTCCGGGCAATTTTTTATCGAAGGAGTTTTAAAGGTTCCTACGTGAACCTTTAAATTTAAAATGAATTAAAAATCTGGGAGCGAATTTAAAGAAATACTTCGCAGACACGAAGTAGAAACTGTAACAAAATATGTTTACTACTATGGAAAGTCATTCGATAAAGAGAGTAAGTAATTTTTGAAGATGTAATGAGTAAATAAAAATCCTCTAGAATGTAAATGCTTTCTTTGGTTGTTTAGTTGATATTTGGCCATTTTGTTCCAAAGAACTTATCAGCACTAATTTGTATTAATTTTATTGCGTAAGATCTAGTTGATGTTGCGAGATTCGGTCCAAGTTGAAAAAAGGGTTTATAGACGTTCATATTCATTAATTTTGTTGCATAACGTGTAATAGCGTTATGTTTGATTTTTATTTGGTTTCATTGTCAGGTATTGCATGTTTTTTTTTTTTTTTTTTTTTTTAAATAGCTGATGCTTCACGAAACATTCCGTACTATATTAAACATTAAACAAGATATACCGTGTTAGATTTGAAAATTTTTATTGTTGTTTCTTGAGAAACTCGACAATTGTCTCGATGACTACTATATTTTTCATCCTATTTTAGTGTATGAATGCAGTCTGTTGATTTGAAATATAATCATTTAATAGTCTATAAAGAAAATCCATTCTTTAGTTTTATCATTAACAACATGTTTCAAAATAACCTTATAATAAACACTACCAATTCAAAAAATATTCTGTTTTATTTTCAGGTAATAGTTCACCATAAAATTATAATGCATTGAAATATCAGGAAGTTATAATAATAAAGATATTGAATTTTAGAAAACAGGAAAGTTTTCTGAAATGTATATATATTTCTTTAGTGATGTGATATATATATTTCTTTAGTCAATGAATGCTACTTATCTTGTGTGTAAAATCACATTACTGTCTATTTTGACTCTTAGCACCAATGGACTAGCAGATAAGATAGCTGAATACTGGATGTTTGATCAAGGTACAAATACTGTTGAATGGATTAGCTGCATGGGAATTTTCCTGTTCTCCTTATATATAAGTGAATACAAGACAGTTTCCCATTAGACCTTCTCAAAGGCATCCCTTTTGCGTAAGGCAGCTAGCTCATTCTATACTTTACCTAGCATATATAATTTTAATATGAGACAAAATGACATAATTTTTTTACATAATAGTTTAATGCTTTTAATATCTCTCTATGTTTGCAGTAGGTGCTGCTTAATGTGATTACATTTGCCCATTTTTGATAATATAAGATGATGAGAAAAGTATCTTTTAAAATAGGAATTGAATTAACTATAAATATAACTAGCCACTTTCTTAACATTTTAATTAGGAAAAATAAAAGTTTGTTTATCAATTGTTTACAGTCTTCATTGCAAAAGTTCATTTGAGTAGTCCATAATGTTTCTGAAATTTATTGGACCAATTCTATACCTATAATCTTAATACTTGGAGGGCATCCTTGTTTAAAGAGATTTTGCCAATGTAAAATCTGAAATTGGGCAAAAATGCAAGTGTATTTTGGCAAAGATGTTTTCAGGAATTTTTACCTCCCTTTTGAAGAAGAGGGAACTGTGCTGAAGCCCTTCCAAATCAATAGCTATTGAAAATTCGTATGAAATTAAGTTTTTTTTTTTTTTTTTAATTTTATTGTTTTGCGCTTTTTTCTAAATGCTTGATTAAAATCATTTTCGTTCTTCAGTTTAAGAAATTTATTGTATAATATTTTGATTATATTAACCAAATTGAGCAAATAAAATTACAGCAGCAAATGATGCATTTTTTATGTTTCCATATATGAAAGAGCAGAACTTAGAAATTCAATAGCAATATACACGACATCAGCTGCAATACATTAAGCAGTGTCTACAGTATGTAGTATATATAGAGACAGTTAAATGTATAATATGTTTATAGAGATCTGTAATTTCTTTCTTTTAAAAATCAAAGTATAATGTTAAATGTATAATATGTTTATAGAGATCTGTAATTTCTTTCTTTTAAAAATCAAAGCTTATCAGATTGTGATCTAAATCAAAATTTTCTTTCCAGTTGAACTAACTCCAGATTTACGATTAAACTGGTTAGATGATATTCCCTATTTCCACTTTGGGCGAAAAACCTATGTTTGCCATCAAGGAAAAGATCTGAATAAACGTCAAAAGGAAAATTATGCTAAAGAAAAAAATGAAAAGGTAAAATAACATTGTTATATTTAAAAATTTATACAAAAATATCACCTCTTGGATTATATATATATATATGTTTGTGTGTGTTTTTTTTTTTTTTTTTTTTTTTTTCTTTTAGTGTCAAACTGATCATGCTTTTGGTAAAGCATATTCCAAGAACCAGACAACTAAAAAAGTTAATTGTCCAGCTGTAATTAATGTTACCCGAATGTACAGGATGCCTCAGTTCAAGGTAGAAGTTTATTTAACTTTTTGTTCTAAGATGGTCTTAGTAATTTTAGAGAAATTTTTTTTTAAGGAAAAAATATAATTCTGTCACGTATGAGCAAGATGTATTGAAGGTATTCTATGATAAAGTATACATACTTTTTGACATAAAAACAAAAGGTATTTTTAGAGTCACAATGTAAAAAAGAGAAATGATTTTTTGTGTCTCTTTATTCAACATATTTTTCTAAATAGTTTTTTTTTTTTTTTTTTTTTTTTTTTTTGGCCAAAAGAGGGTTTTTAACAGTAATATTTTCCTAAATAAATAATTCAGTAATTGACATGCAAATAAAATGATGTTTTCAGGCCAGAAATAAAGGCTTTTTATGCTAATTATATTCTAACCAATTTGCTACAAATAGAAATAAGTTGTTCAAAGTGAAGTTTTATTGGTTATGTTTCTTTGAAGAAGTAATTTGATCTATTGTTATAAAAATGGAAGATCCTTTTTACAGCTTTTTTTAAAGGAAAGAAATGACTAAATGACCTCCTCTTTTTTTTTTTTTTTTTTTTTTGAATAATTTGCTATGAACAGAAAGTTTTTAAAATTGAACCTTTATCAATAATTAGTTTTAGATGACTGTGCTGGAATTTCTAAATTTTACTGTGATAAATATGTTTAAATTACAGGTAGTGCCAACCCGAAAAAGAAAGATTATGATATCTCGGAAAATTAAGGAAAAACTAGCCAATAAAGATAGTATTGCTGGTGAAGAAGTTTTCATGTTTAATTTACCTAATAGCCAAGATCATCAAAATCATCTAATGGGTAACATGGCTGCAGTAATAGAACCTATAGATGCTAGAGTGCGGCATTTCATAGCTTCTAAAGTTAAGAATGGAAAATGCAATGCCACTGTAATTGCAGAGCTATTAGAAGTATACGTTTCAACTGAATTGGGAGAAACTGATAAAACGCGCAGACGATTTTATCCAGAAATGGAGGCAATAAGGAAAATAATAAGCCAAGCAAAATCCGATATTAGAACTAGTAAAATTGACCAGGAAAATACAGAAATGTTAATAAATAGCTGGGATACTTCCAAGTGTTCTGTTTTTTTTAGACCATGTACTGAAAATACATATGATGGTACTGAGCCAAATGACTTTACAGATTCAAAACTAAATCTGCTATTTGTATATCAAAGTGAAGAAATGAAAAATTTATATGTCTTATATGGTTCTAATCTTGTTCTTCTCGACGCGACCTATCGAACCTGTAAGTATGCTCTCCCACTTTATTTTTTAGTTGTCAAAACAAATGTGAACTATCAAATAGTGAGCATAATAATTACACAAAATGAAACAGCCAAAGCATTAGAAGAAGCTCTTATAATTATTAAAAATTGGTCGCCTCTCGTTAGACCAAAATATGGGATGGTTGATTTTGCAATGGAAGAAATTACAAGTTTGGAAAATGTCTTTACAGGAATTAAGGTTTTTATATGTAGTTTCCATCGAGAGCAGGCATGGTCAAGATGGGCTTCTAAGAAAAAGAATGCAGTGGTTCCCAAAGAAGAGCTTTTGTGTAAATTACGTGCCATAGCAAATGCTCCAACTCAAGATGAAATGGTTGCAGCAATAGAGGTATTAAAATCATGGAACCAATATGAAGCTGTGAAAGATTATTTTGAATTAACATGGTTCAAGGAAATTGAGAGATGGGCTTTGGCTTACAAACCAAATGACTTATTCATAAACTCGAACAATGGTGTTGAACGCTTAAATGAGGAACTAAAATATAGATATCTTCAGGGATATAAAAACTGTATGCTGTCTGAAATAATTAAGATCTTGGTTGAGAAATTTCTGCCAGAAAGATATAGAATTTACGTCAGAAAAAATCTGAGTATGCTTTCGCAGGCCAGATTATACAATGAACATGTACCAAATTATTTAATCAATAAGCCAAAATGGTTAATTGATCACATAAAAACAAAATTAAGAGCTGCTGAAGTTTATGTGGGTAGTATAAAAAAAATTTCACATGGCTTCTTTAAAGTTTCTTCTGAAACTAAGCATGATGCAGTTTATTCTGTCACGTTTGATGAACAGAAACAACTGTGTCAATGCACATGCTTAGATTTCAGAAGAAACCGACTGCTGTGCAAGCATATTGTGTTTGCTGGCATGAAGTTTCCAGCCTGGAGTTTGGAATGTACTGCAGAATGGCTATTTTCAACACCTATTTTCAAAGTTGATGAAGATTTAGTCTCAAGAAGTATTTCAGGCACCAGAAAACGAAAATATTCATCAACTGAAACTCCTTCAGGTGGAACATCAGATAATTTACCCACCATATCTGAAGAAGCAACGTTGAGTAAAAAAAGAAATTTGATCAATGAGTGCGATGCAAATTACAGATCAATTCGGTCACTCCTTTGGAATTTAGATAGCGAAAATTTACACAATGTAGCCAACTCTTTGAAGGAGATTTTCGAGTCTGCTTCAAAAACAGTTATGCGAGATGAATATACTGGTCTACCGCTTCAAATTGAAAAAAAAATTAAACTAAAAAAAAGTAAAAGAATTGTCAAGAAGTATGGTCAACTAAACCTCCATCGCCGTAGAAATACCAGAGTTGGAATAAAGGTGGATATACATAAAGAAACCATTTCAGTAGATGGCCAGTAATTAAAATTAGTATGAAACCTAAAGCAGGCTACAAAGAGCCTTTGGCAAAGGTGACACCCCCACCTATGAGTGGATAATAGATAAAATCTCGGGGACTTAAGATAAAATCTTAAGATAAAATCTCGGGGACCTGCATGCCATGGATACACTAATACTTATTTTCAAATAAAATAATAAATTTCATACTTTTAGGATAATCTTAAATACTGAATATTATCATACTTGAAATACTTTAGTATGTGCATTTATTTTCGGATTCTTCAGAATTTATAGTGAAAAAACTGCTACAACTATATACTATCAAATACCAGATTTCAGACAATTAAAATTGACGATAATTCAAAGTATAACATATAAGTTTTGTACAATTCAATAAACATAATACATGTTATTATTTAGTAATATTTATTTCCTGAACAACTTTACAAACACTTATTTGAGAGTCATATAACTTATTTCTATTCAATAATGCTGCAGCTGCATTGATTGTCACGATCAAGACATATGAGCAATATAGTATTTAATGCACTCAAAACTGAATCTGGTAAAGACTTACGGCATATTGGTTACCAAATGCATCTAAAGCAAACCAGTATGCAGGGTTAGTTTTACAGGTTCACTTGTTTTCAAATTAGCAACTCTGTAAAAGTTTTACTCTTGGTTGTACTGACACTGCCTGTTCTTTCTCATATCTAATTGTAGTTATTTGGTTGTAATATGCAGTAAAGGTAAGAACACTGGTGTAATATGCTGTAATTTTTATGTTAGATAGCCCAGTTACATGACTACAACAACATTTTTCCACTACTTTTTTTACACTGTAAACTCGGTTTAGAAAGTTATTTTCCATGATTTTGGGGTGTTGTGTATAATACATCATATGGAATAACTACAGTTAAATGTATTCATTCAAAAGAGGATATATTGTCTTGCTGAATCTTTTCCTGTACTTATTGTTTGATTTAATATTTCCAATGTGGTGGATTGACCATCATGGAATCATAGCATCCAGTAGATCTTTCAATATAACTCCATTCAGATATTCACATTTATATTATTGTAAATTAACGTAGAAGACAGATTGACAGATATTCTCAGTTCATAGTGCCAAAGTGTTTTTTAATAATGCTAAAATACAATTTAAAAAAAAAAAGATTACTCATGTTATTATGTAGAATTAATGTTAAAATTCCATACAAGAAACAAGCATCGATTAATTGTGTTATATAGAATTAAAGAATAAACAGTCAGGTAGAAATTTATAAATGCATAAAACACAACAAAAGGCAGGGCTGCATTTATTCATCCAGTTCATTGAAAAAGTTGTGGCTTTCCTAGACCCCTACCCCTTGTCGAACATGTAGGTTGTTTCGAATGTTGTCATGAGTAACTAACATAAAATATAATTTTTTCCCCAAATTAGTATGTTATAATTTTTGAATAAAAGAAGAGTGAGATAAGTGGTTATTCTAGCCGAAATAAAGTGTGCGTCGAGTTCCAGTAAAGACCCAAAAATGTCATCTGGGAAAGCTGAGAAAGGGGAAACGAGCTAGCTTTAACCTGAGTCTAGAGATGCATATAATACATACATACAATACAGATAAGTGTGAGTAAACTGGTGCACTTAAATTATAACATAAGTCACAAATGTACATTACAGGTAAAGCATGTCAATTTAAATAATATGTGTATTAAGTATGGCCATAGGCCATTTACAATTATTTGGGTCATTCACATTATAATCGTAAACCCTTATAACAGGGTTGTCTTCAAATCTTTAAATTCAGAAAAACTTCTAAAATCGTAATTTTTTCTATAGAAGAATTTCTATCCTCAGAAAAATAAATGTTAAAGAATTGAAATATAAAATTTGTGCATTTTATGCAGAAAGTAAAAAGAAATTCATTATTTCATTATAAATTTAATCATAAACAAAAATCTGCTTAATATTTTTTAACAATAATAAGAGAATTTCAAAGATTATTTCAAGTATTTCATTTTGATGTCCAGTGATATTAAAAATTGTTTTAAATTTTGACTTACAGATGCCCTAGAGGAGTTGCATGGTATCTAAAATTTCTGTGAAACACAGTTTGAAAACCTTCAGACTACTCGAAAACTTCAGATTATGTGAAAAAAGAAATGTAGATGTAAAGAGCAGTGATTAAAAAGTTTTAATGACCAAAATATTTTCATTCCATCAGATTATTTGTGTATTTTGAAGAAGACACAATCAGATAATAAGATCACAAATAGAGGATAAGTTTTTTTTTTTTTTTCTTTTTTTTTGGGGGGGGGAATTATTGCATATACCATACATTTTAACATATAGAATATTCTTGGATTGTCTACTGAAAAAAGTACATAATATATGTAAATTTTAATATATAAGAAGTAATGCAAATATTTCAATAAATGAATGGATAAAAAATGGCCTTCTTAAACAACCTCATGTTTAAATTACTTAGAGGAATTTATGCGAACATGTTTCTGTTGGCATTAATTAAAAATGTAGATGAACACAAATTGCATAATGTATTTTAATTGAATATATGTTTTGGAATGAAAAATGTAAACAGCCTTAATATACTTAATAACTCGGATTTGTAATGCATATATTTTTTTTCCAATGGCAGACAAAAGTATTATATACAGACACACTATCAAATAAACACACACAAACAAATATATCACACACTAAATAACAGAGAGAATAAGGAAGCCTATTTACTACTGCTTGAACATACTCTAGGCTTCCAGTAACAGCCACAGAGATCCTGTACAAAGAGAGCCATGCATTTTGCAGATGGTGGAGGTTCGTATCTTGGGCTTTTATCACAAAGGACGAATACAGAATTTTTTAATCAAAAAGTTTTGCTGAATAATGACGAGTTAAAATACAAGTTATTATGATGGAATTAGCCTTTGGGTATCGGAAATGAATATGTAGTTGAAGAACGAAGGTTTGCTTTAAATTACAGATTTCTAATACATTAATTTAATTATGTGTTTTAAAAATATCATTTTAATATAATATTTTTCTAATACATTTATTTTATTATCCAAAATTATTTTCTAATTAACAGAAAGATACAGCATAACTTTCAGTGATCCATTGTCAAAAAAAGGCTTCTTCTGGACAGCTTAATAATAGTACAAGGAAATAAGCTTATTTTATGCATGCCTTGTGGCATGAGATAATGAATTTCTGAAGTATTTTAAAAACTGTAAAAATATGTACATATACCATAGAAATGATTTTTAACACTAAATAAAATTCAATACGTGCCCATAGTAAGATCAACTTATGAAAGCTTTTTTACCAAACTGGAAATCATTGCATAAGGAGGAAAATTTCCAAAAGCCATTTTTTAATTTTTATAATATGACTAACGATAAGGTATTGCTTTTTGATCAATAACATGGGTTGTTTGAACTAATAAAGAAAAACAGCTGAATGCACATATTAGTAACCTTAAATTGCATCAGTATTACAGCGAGTTAATTCTAAATCACAAAACACTTCTGTAAGACAGTCAGACACAGCTGCTACAAAAAATTTTCTATGGAAGTGGTTGTCTTAGGTGATATTTGATGTCAATGTTATTAAATTACCACTTTTGTTATCATCATAGTGTGATATGCATCTCTCTGTGTATACATTTTGAATCTGAAATAATGCATTCAGCATAGCATATATACTTTAGGGATAATTGGGTGTAAAGAAAAGTCAATAAATACAAATTTATTCGCATACAAAAATAATTGTATGGTTAAAATGTACACAAAATGATGAAAATACATAGTTTTTTTATTATTAATTACCAGATATAAACAGCGCATAAATCTTAACACTAAGCAGGATTATAATTTAAAAAGAAATCAATAGCAAACAAAAATCCACAAAATATTAGTTCACTTGAAGCACTACACATCTTAATATCTGCTGCAAGAATGAAAAAGAAACATGTGCCTACATGAGAAGCAACAGAAAGAAATTGGAGAGTATGGTTAAATAATAAAAACCAAATCCTTAATATCATCTACTGACAGAAAGAGAACAAAATGCAAATAAGAAGCAAATTTCTTAAAAGCTAACAATAAAGAAGAGATTAAAATTAGGATGAACTGTCATATTTTTATTGACATAAAACATCAGATGCCACTTGAAATCAAATGTTAAGTGAAGTGGTGCCCCCACCCCAGTATAATTTTTCGATGTAGAGAAATGAAAATCGTAGACAAAACAAAATTTATAAATTTCTTTCCTCCAGACATAAGTTTGTGCTGTTTAGTACAAAATTTAAGACACGCATCTCAGCTGTTCGGAGCAAAATTTTAACGCTGTCTTTGCTTGATCATTGTATATGAAACAACACAGTCAGAGAATATTATAGATATTCAAAGAAGGATTCAGTTGGTATTTCTCTAAGATTATATTACATATATAAGAAAGTGCTTGTGTGGTATAGTATTATAATGTTTATAATAACACATTATACTATATTTAATTTTTTTACTAAATCAACCCAAGTTTTAAGGCCCGTTTATTCGTATATATATGCACACACAATTAAGTACACAATATATTAAAATAGATATATCACCTAAAAAAGATATATCCCTATGAACAAAACAAAAATTATGGGTCATTCAAATAAATAAAAATTCAGTGATTCTTTTGCTGTGTTCTACCCTACGTAACGTAATTATTACTTTAAATCGTACATATACAATCAGTAGTCTAATATATATTTTACAATCAGGCATTATTACTACTTAGTCAACAATACAGACATATCTAAATTTTCATTATTGTTTACACTCATTACATGCACAATTGCGGTTTTTTTATTTTAACAACAGAAATGAACTAAACATATCAATACTCTTGATCATTGTATCAGCAATATGAGCAAGTTTCTGTGTATCATACAGATTTATTCGCATTGCGCCCAGTCTCGTATACCGCAAAAAAATAAATAAATAAAATAAAATATGAAGGTGAAGGCCCTTTTCCGTTCCGCAAAATTTTCCACAATTCCGCCTAAAACGTAAACAAAGTATCGAGACTTCGTAATCGATTACAAAGTGCAAAGCTATCAGCTAGTCGTCATCGATGGGGAAAGGAGACTCTTGGCCATCCGAAAAAGCGGCACTTATGACAGACAGACAGTCTGTCTACTCCGATGAAAAGCCGACGTACACATTTTTACGAGTTCAAAAGGCCAGAAAGAAAAGATGGGACAAAATAAATTTAAATTAAATGGCCCAAAAATAATAGAGGGCAAAAAAAAAAAGGGCCTATAGAAAGAAAAGGAAAAGAAGTAGAAAATATCCTAAAATACGATTGTGTCCATGAGTGTAGTTAAGGAGTTCATCTGCAAAAATTCG